AATCGGATAGGTCAATCAATCAATCAATCAATCAATCAATCTCTCTCTCTCTCTCTCTCTCTCTCTCTCTCTCTCTCTCTCTCTCTGTGAATATATGTTGAAAAAGATAGGTAAAAAGACGAGTTTTTTGAATCGGATAGGTCAATATATATCAGCGTACACCAGATACGTCGCATAGAAGGCGCGCGCGCGCCTCTCTCTCTCTCTCTCTCTCTCCTTTTGGAATTTGTTTCTGCTGTTCTCTGGTCTCTGGGCGGTTGTTGCCGTTCCTTGGCATCCCCCATGGCTCTCGCACTGATTGAGTTAATACGGCAGGGCTCTCTCTTAGCCTATCATCCCTCTGATTCGTTGTCCTGGGCATGGTACTTAGACTACAGTGATTGGTGAATACTTGTGAATATCGTCACCTGTACTACCTTCTACACTCTACCGGGCGAACGCTGTCTGTTTGTTCCTGTTGTCATTATTACTACAGCCTTAAGCTGTATCTCCAACCTCAGTGATCTTCAAGTGACAATAACGTTTGGTTATCCCCTTCATCTACTTGCGCTCCGCTTGCCTGTTCGCTCAGGTGTGCTCACTTCTATACCGCAATATCATAGGATACCAATCTCTTACGTTAGTGTAGCTGTGTATCCGTGTTCAAGATGCCACCCGTCAACTGTGGGCTCTGCTCTAGATTTGTTGCTACTGAGAATTTGTGTAGATTATGTGCTATTGCTACCCATGAATTTCATCGTGCGTGTCTGTTGAAACAGTTATGTGTTGATACTCTTCCGGATTTGAAAGTTATAAACTGTTTTGCGTGCGCTAAAAATGCTGGCTTTACTTATCAGACGCCGAGTGCCACAATTGCTACGTCATCCGCTGGTACTACGAATATTTGTGCGCAACTTGCTTCACTTAGTACTCTTGTGTCTAATTTAAGCTCGAAAATTGACGGCATGGATGTTGCTTTGCGGGATGTTAGGAACAAACTAGCTGATCTAGATGAACTTAAGGTTGATATTCGTGGGTGTCTCAACAAGCTAAACTCCTTAACGGATAAAATTGCTGCAGTTGAAGAGACAACTGCAAATTTAACACGCGAACAGGGGGTGCTAGTGGATCGCTTGGAAGCATTTGAAACTGGTTGCTCTGATCACGATAAAGAAATTACTGACAGAATGCATTCTTTGGAAACCCGGTTTTCTAAGCATCCATGCACTGTCTCGGATATCTCGAATGTCGTTCTGCCTCTTACTGCGCGTATCCGTACTCTCGAATATGAAAAATATTGCAGAAATCTTGTCATTTCTGGTTTGCCTGAAATGAGTAATCTTAGTGACCGCGACTCTGTGTTGTTGTTATTTGCGACTCTAAATGTCACTGTCGACAGTACACAGATCACTGAACTCTCACGTATGCGTAACACAACCACAACAACTGCCGACAAACCGAGGATGTTATTCATCGGTCTCTCTTCTCCGGAATTAAGTAATGCAGTCTTGACTTCAAAACGTCTTAAAGGTACTCTCACTGCGAAAGAAGTCAATGCTTCATTTTCTGATTCTCGTATCTATATTAATGAGTATTTACCGTCTGATCTATATAAACTTCTCCGTGCTACTCGGGATGCTGCAAGAACCAAGAATTACCAGTATGTCTGGGTCCGTAATGGTACTGTTAAAGTTAAAAAAGACAATAACTCGACAATTATTGAGATCAACAACCTGGAGGACATCGAACGTTTACTGTGAAGTTCTGAAACTCCACCGCCAACATCGTCTCAGCTTATTCGTCCTGCCTACTCTCTAAATATCTGTCATGTCAATGCTCAGTCTATTGCGGCTCATTTTGACGAATTCCTTAACTACTTCGGCAATAGTCACTATGATTTAATTTTGATCTCAGAATCATGGCTCAAGCCACACATTTACGACAGCGCTGTTAGTCTGCCAGGATTTCGTCTCTTTCGTTGTGATAGAATTGGCAAGCAAGGTGGTGGAGTTTGTATCTTTATTCGTGACCTGATTTCTGCAAAAATTAGCACTTCATCAGCATCATCAACTTATATTCCGCGTCCTGAATTCTTATTCATCGAAGTTTCGAGACCTGAGTCTGCCAAGCTTTTGGTTGATGTTGTATACAGACCACCAAAAATTGCTTTCTCTAACCATCTTGAGCATATCTTCTCTTCCGTCTGCCAAGACTACGTCTCTAATATCTTAATGGGCGATTGGAATACTGACCTATGTACCGATAACTTTGATAGAACTTACATATTGAAACTCTTTCAGAGCTACAATTTGCATCTAGTACCGTTCTGTGCTACTCATCATACTGCAACTTCTTCTACCTGGCTAGATTTATGTGTTGTGGAATCTACCGAAAAAATTCGGAGCCATGGTCTGTATCCTCTACCCTTTCTGTCAGCTCATGATTTAATTCATATAAAATACGAATTCCGATTAGTACGTTCTTCTGACTCTGCTTCTACTGTTAGGAGGCGGATGTGGCGTGGGTTACAAAATCCTGAGTTTCAAACGCAACTATTAAACTTAGACTGATCCCCTTTGCTAGAGTGTCGGTCCGCTGAGTGCAAATTAGAGTATTTAAATGATCAGTTGTCTACTATTTTAAACAGATTTGCTCCTTGGCGAAAAATCAATATTAGGCGACCTCCTGCGCCTTGGTTAAATGATCAACTTCGAGACTTGATTCGGTCTCGAAATAGACTGCGAACTAAAGCTCGACGAACTCGCTCAGAAGCTGATCGTACTGCATACCGTCGATTACGTAATCAGGTAAAGGTGCTAATGTCTAAATCCAGAGCTAATTATTGTAGTTTACGTCTTGCTCAACTGAAGGACTCCAGGCAGGTTTGGCAAGAGCTAAAAAAAAGTCGGTGTAGTATCTGGTTCTAAGAAATCATGTGCTATTACATCGTCGCCTGACGAGCTTAATGACTTCTTCTGTTCAGCATTCAGTTCGGACTCTCCTGAGCCTCCTGAGGTATTAAGTAGGAACATGTGCTTTGATGACTCAAAGTTTTATTTCAAGTATGTCACTCCCGAGTGTCTTTTACCTCATATGAGATTCACCGACTCGCATGTTTCTGGCTCTGATAACTTCCCTACGCTCTTCTTGAAGCACTGTGCTCTATCTCTCTTTCCAATATTTTTGGATGTCTTTAACTCCTCGCTTTCTACGTCTACATTTCCAATGGCTTGGAAGAGCTCTATTATTGTTCCTGTGCCGAAGAAGACCAATCCATCAGAGTCTAATGACTTCAGACCGATCTCGCTCCTTTGCGAATTTTCAAAGTTGCTGGAACGCATAGTTCGTAAGGACATGTTAGATTATCTCAAGCGCTACGGGTATCTTGATCAATCATAGTTTGGGTTCATCTCAGGCGGATCTACGCAGAATGCTCTCATCAGGCTCACTGACGATGTTCGCCGGGCCATAGACGATCGAATGGTCACTGTGCTGGTGCTTTTCGACTTCTCAAAGGCCTTTGACACGGTGCATCATGCTTTGCTGATTAATAAACTTGCACTCTTAAATTTTTCCTGGTCCACCTTAAATTGGTTCTGGTCATACCTGACCGGTCGTAAGCAGGCTGTCCGCACCTCTGATGGCACTTTGAAGTGGTCAGCTGTCTCTTCGGGGTCCCCCAGGGTTCAGTTTTGGGTCCAACGCTTTTCTCTCTCTATATTGCAGATATTGACCAGCAAATTCAAAACTGCTCTATAATTAAATATGCCGATGACCTCCAAATTTATATTCACTCTGCACCGACCGCTGTGAATCTCTTTATCGCGAAGATCAACGAAGACATCGTGTGTATTTGTGAATGGTCTAAAGAGAACAAACTTCGGTTGAGCCCGTCTAAGACCAAAGCTATGATACTTGGCTCTTCCAGGTATGTCAATGCCTTCAGATTCGAGGATATTCGAGATGTTGTCGTCGATGGCTCTATAATTCCGTTCGCCAACTCGGCCAAGAACTTAGGAGTCCTCATATCTCCGACACTTAATTGGCAACAGCATGTCACTAGCATATGTAATAGGGCATATAAAACCCTTTACCAATTAAGAGCCAATGGACAGTTTTTAGGTAGAGCGCTCAAACAGCAACTCGTTTTATCGTTGATTCTTCCGCTTATTGACTACTGTTCTCTTGTATTTTTAGACATTACCACCGAGGAAAACATTAGATTACAGCGAATCTTAAACGCCTGCGTTCGTTTTATTCTAGGGATCCGTAAATACGAGCACATTACCCCGCATCTACGTACCCTAAAATGGCTCAGTGTCTCTCAGCGGCGGCAATATTTTCTCGGTATCGTCATTCGTCAGGCTGTTCATATCGCGATGCCTACTTTTATTTTTCGTCAACTCGAGACCATCTCATCCAGACCAACGTCTGGTCCTGTAACACGGTCACATCCTATTGACCTGATTTACCCTCGTTGCCGCACCTCTGCTTTCCAAAATTCGGTGTTAATATCGGTGGTTAAATTTTGGAATTCACTGCCGGGTACTATTCGTGATACACCCACTCTACCTACTTTTAAGTCTGCGTTGCATGCCTTTCTTCTTAGTTTGTAACTTAGCTTTAATCCCT